TGGTGAACTGCTGTTACTCCAGATGACTAACAATTGCATGTCACTGTACCAACGTTTTACTTAAAGCAAAAGAAAAAAGGTAGATATTACTGCCATTAATTTAGAAATTGCCATTAGAATTGGTATTTTGAGGTGGACATTAAAGGAGAAAATTAAAGTGGGGACCATAATACTTCTGTTATTCAAAATGTTTGTGGAAATTAGTGGTCCCAAAACATACTGCGTACTCTGTAGTAAAAACGTATTGAATAAAAAGAGAATGCATGGGTGAAACATCAAATAAACAGCCATCAAAGTATGTACTTGGCAACTGGACAAAACTAAATGGGGGCGTGTCTGAGGGCCTGTAATGGTTAAAATTGAAAAAGTTCATGAAAAATGGCACTTGCATACAACAATACATGCATACTAGTATAAGCTCACAGAATATGAAGAGATTCTGTGGTGGAATCATAAATATAAAAGCGAAGTGGACGCTGTGTGTGTGCAGACACTGTGTGTGTGTGTGTGTGTGTGTGTGTGTGTGTGCATACACGCACACAGAGTCCACTTCGCTTTTATATTATATTAGCATGTTGCCCGTGGGGATCCACGGATCTATGAAGAGATTCTGCGGTGGAATTCTTAAATAAATGCCCATCAAAGTTGGTACAGTGCAACGTGCGAATGCAGACAATTGAATGGGGGGGCTTATAATTCCTGCAAATCAAAAAGTCTGTGAAAAGCACCACCTACGCACTATAATACAAGGATCCTAGTATATGCCCATAGAATATGAAAAGATTCTGTGGTGGAATCATAAATATAAAAGCGAAGTGGACTCTGTGTGTGTGCGTGCGTGTATGCGTGTGTGTCCGGCCAATCAGTGGAATCCCGTGTGGAGCCGATGTTTGTCATTTAGCATAATTATGTATTTTGGGTTAAGGAAGACCCTCACGAAAACGGCAAGTTGATAGGACCAATATTTTTTGAGAAATAAGTGGTTTTTGCTAGAAATGACTCAGAATCACATTGCTACCTCAATGCTAGAATGAAAAATGGCCTGGAAATGACTCAGTCATGAGACCAAAGTGAACAATGCACCATTATGATGTCATCACGTTGCTATGGTGTTTCCATAACAGCATGACATCACATGACCAAGCCAATTCATCCACAAGAGTCATGAATCCCAAAAAACATGTACAATCAGTGAAAAAAAATACATAAAACAATAAATTTCATGATTAATCAGTAACATATGTCAAATCATCATGTGAAATAATAAATTTAATGATTCAGAAGACAAATTTTTTCCTGTCTATAAATTTATAGCATGAATTTAACAATTATCTTATGTGTTAACCCTTTCATTACCATTGTCGCATTTCCGCGACAGCGCCGATCCCGCATCACTTACCATTGTCGCTATTTTGCGACTAGAGAAAGTCCCTCGCAAAAACAGTCAAAGCTCTGCGACAAAACACCCCTTTGGACGAGTCTGGTATCGCACAACACGTCAGTGATGTCATCAGGCTTCCCGTAGTTCCCAATCCTCCGGTTATGCACAGTTTTATTTTATTTTATACAGGATATTACAGGCAGTGCGTGCTGCAGCACGTGCATCTCCGTTTGTACACAAATGCACGTGTATCTCTGTTTGTACAGAAATGCGCGTGTATCTCCTTTGTACAGAAATCCCATAGAGGAGATATCGTCTCGTCTTGACAAACCGAAATACAGTTTTTATCCTCATTTTTTGTTTTTACTTTTGGAAAAACTAAGCAAAGATATGTGTCAATGGAAAGGTAAATGTATTTTGAACATGTTTTCTGACATAAAATTGTCCATTTCTGGCGTTTTTAGTTCGAAAAAGGGGGTGAAAATCCACATGCAATATCATGCTGTGATAGCACAAAAATTTACGGTAAGCAAGGTTGTCTTATTCCCAGTAAGCGGTTGTGAAAGGGTTAAAGTCAACTCTCCCAAACATAGACACGACCACTTCTAGAACCCGTGGATCCCCACGGGCAACACGCTAGTACAATATAAAAGTGAAGTGGACTCTGTGTGCGTGTATGCACACACACAGTGTATGCACACACATAGAGTCCACTTCGCTTTTATATTTAGGACTCCACCACAGAATCTCTTCATATTCTGTGAGCTTATACTAGCATACATGTATTATAGTGTGCAAGTGTTGCTTTCCACAAACCTTTTGATTTGCAGGAATTATAAGCCCTCAAATATGCCCCGTCCCATTCAATTGTCTGCATTCGCACAGTATCAACTTTGATAGCCATTTATTTACAACCCCAATTCCGAAATAGTTGGGACAAAGTGTTAATTGTGAATAAAATCAAGATGCAATGACTTTCCAGAGATAACATAGCAAATGTTGAAACTGAGAAATTTTACAATTTTATCCACAAAATGAGCTCATTACAAATTTGATGGCTGCTACAGGTCTCAAAAAAGTTGGGACAGGAGCCTGTTGACCATGGTGTAGCATCCCCGCTTCTTTTTAACACAAAGTGGAGGCATCTGGGCATTGAGGAGACAAGTTTCTTGAGTTTAGCCATTGGAATTTGATCCTACTCTTGTTTAATACAGGCTTCCAGCTGCTGGAGAGTTTTGGGTCTCCTTTGATGGACTTTTCATTAAATTATGCACCAAATGTTCTCAATTGGTGAAAGATCAGGACTGCAGGCAGGCCAGCTCAGCACACGGACTCTTCTACTATGAAGCCATGCTGTTGTAATACCTGCAGTATGTGATTTTGCATTGTTCTGCTGAAATACACAAGGCCTTCCCTGGAATAGATGTCGCCTGGAGGGGAGCATATGTTACTCTAAAACCTTGATATACCTTTCAGCATTCATGGTGCTTTTTAAAACATGCAAGTGTCCCTCACCATATGCACTAATGCATCCCCATACCATCAGAGATGCTGGCTTTGGAACTGAACGCTGATAACAGGAGGGGTGGTCTTTCTCCTCTTTAGCCCGGAGGACACGACGCCCATGATTTCCAACAAGAATGTCAAATTTGGACTCGTCTGACCACAGGAAACTTTGCCACTTTGCTACAGTCCATTTTAAATGAGCCTTGGCCCACAGAACACAGCGGCGCTTCTGGATCATGCTCAACAATGGCTTCCTTTTTGCATGATAGAGTTTTAGGTGGCATCTGTGGATGGCACAGCGGACTGTGTTTACTGACAGTGGTTTCTTAAAGTATTCCTTGGCCCATTTACTAATGCCAATGACAGAATCATGCCGGTGAGTGATGCAGTGGCGCCTGAGGGCCTGAAAATCACGGCCATCCAGTAAAGGTCTTAGGCTTTGTCCCTTATGCACAGAGATTTTTCCAGTTTCTCTGAATCTTTTGATGATGTTATGCACTGTGGATGATGAGACCTTCAAAGCCTTTGCAATATGACGTTGAGGAACGTTGTTTTTAAAGTAGTCCACAATTTTTTTACGCAAACCTTCACAGGTTGGAGAGCCTCTGGCCATCTTTACTTCTGAGAGTTAACTTAATTGCTTGCTAAATGTTCTTTCAGCTGATTTTCTTATATATTAATTGCTTTTTCAGCCCTTTTTTGCCTGTGTCCCAACTTTTTTGAGACCTGTTGGACCCAGAAAATTTGAAATAAGCTCATTTTGTGGATAAAAATGCAAAGTGTCTCAGTTTCAACATTTGGAATGTTATTTATGTTCTATTGTAAATAACATATTGGCTCGTGTGATCTGAAAGTCATTGCATTTTGATTTTATTCACAATTTACACTTTGTCCCAACTATTTCGGAATTGGGGTTGTAATATTTCCAATATGGAGTCTCTTCAAATGCAGATATCCTGTACTGGAATACATGCATTGTTGTATGCAAGTGCCATTTTTCACAAACTTTTTACATTTTAACCATTACAGGCCCTCAGACACGCCCCCATTTAGTTTTGTCCAGGTGCCAAGTACATACTTCGATGGCTATTTATTTGATGATTCACCCATGCATTCTTTTTATTCAATACGCTTTTACTACAGTGTATGCAGTATGGTTTGGGACCATTAATTTCCATAAACATTTTGAATAACAGATGTATTATGGTCCCCACTTGAATTTTCTCCTTTTATATTCACCCCAAAATACCAATTCTAATGGCAATTTCTACATTAATGGCAGTAATATCTACCTTTTTTCTTTTGCATTAAGTGAAACACTCATACAGTGACATGCAGTTGGTCGTCATCTGGAGTAACAGCAGTTCACCAAAATCTCACATTTCTGCACAAAATGTCAACTATTAAGTGAAAAAATAAATAAATACAAATCATATTCAAACCAAATTACGGAAGTTATTTCCGCTTTTTTTTTATTTATATAGATCAGTGGTTGTGCCCAGCTTTATTCACCAGGTTTGAAAGCAACTTCCGGTTCCGGGTTAGACTCGAGTAAACAAACATGGCGGTGCCCACGAAGATAATTGTGGTTAGCTAGCTAACTAGCCATTAAATAGAAGTTTTCTTCTGATCGAAACAAGTTTTCCTCGGATCGAAACATGTTTTCCTCAGATTGAGACATGTTTTACTCGGATTGGGAGAAGTTTTCCTCTGATTGAGATATGTTTTCCTCGGATCGAAACAAGTTTTCCTCGGTTCGAAAGAAGTTTTCCTCTGATCGAAACATGTTTTCCTCGGTTCGAAACAAGTTTTCCTCAGATTGAGATATGTTTTCCTCAGATCGAGACATGTTTTCCTCTGATTGAAACAAGTTTTCCTGTAATCGAGACATGTTGTCCTCGGATTGAGGTACGTGAACTGTGCTGTTGTTTTCCAATGATGTCGTCTTAGGGCCACCGCACCAGGGACCAACTCCAGTTCTAAAGCCGGTTGCTTGGTCAGGGGTACTAGTAGGAGTGTTCTTATAATGCATGTTTTTGTGGGTGGGGGAAACCGGAGTACCCAGAGGAAACCCATGCGAACACGGGGAGAACATGCAAACTCCGCACAGAAAGGCCCCAGGTCGGGTTCAAACCCACAACTTTTTTGCTGTGAGGCAACAGTGCTAACCACTACGCCACCGTGCCACCCTGACCGAAGATATCATCAGCACACAGACCAGAGAAATTCATCACAAAAATTATATTTTAAGTGAAATGTTTGCATTTGCTGAAAGCCGAAAAAGACAACATACAGATTTCAGAACCCACTTTTTGAGCATGGGCCTGTTCTTCATCATTGTGTATGGTGCAACTAAATTTAATCTGGAGTTCATTTGGAAATGGTACCATATCCTTAAAATCATAGCATTGCCCGCGCTACAGCTCATGAACACTGCTGTGCAGAATTCCATTGATTGGTCCTCCCAACTGATCAGTTCCATGCAGTGTGACCCTGCTGACAGTTTGTGTCAAGGTTTAGTCCCGCCGGATGCAACAAGCAATCCGGCGGGCACTGGGACCATGTACCCAAAGGCTGAAAAAGGGACCCACTCGCACAGGCTGGTAAGAAAAATAGAAGACATTTAATAAATATACTTTTTAAAAATGACAAAGAGACAGGGGAGCAGCAGCAACACATACGAAGCTAAAAAACCAGAATGCAAGCTCTTAAATACAGGTGTGGCTGGTTGAAGTGGAGGCGAAGACAGAGGAGGGGGAGGGACTGCAGGGCAGAACCATCACAGTTTGTGGACAGGCACTGCTGAAAAATTGGCAAAAGATGTATGGTCCCAAATTGGACACATTGGCATGCCGGAGCTGTATTTATTTATTTTTAATGTCATTCTTTTTTCAATTTTTTATACTTTTTAATTTTTTATATCTTTCATATTTTATAAGAAACTACTTTTTAAAACTTTTATCTTCAAAATGGTAGTTCATGAGAATGCTGGTGCTTTTTGAAGTCTTCCAACTCCTTCATACTGTCACCAAGGAACTTATTTCCCTTTGAACAGGTCAGCACAAGGGGTAGTTTATTGGTGCGAAACAACTTTTGGATAACTTTTATAATTTTAGAGAAATCATAGTTCAGGTTTTATGCAGATTTCAAAAAATACAGTGGGACCCTATGAGAGCCGTTAGCATGGATTATGACATCATACACTCGGAAAAGCACATTCACTTTTCAGAATGTTCCAGGGAAATGTTGGAACGACCTTGTCTCAGCTCGACTCAAGCTGGCTGATGTTGTCACCAGCGACTCAGCTGATTAAGTCTCAAATGGCTGGTTCCAGAATGTAAGGTATGTCAGTTCATAAGTCACGCAGAAGGTTTTGCAGTGGTTTTCGTTTTCTTGCAGTCGTAGCAAACTTAAGCAGGCTAACCGGAAAATTTCGCTCGCCATTTTAGCAACAAAACAACCTCACTGTTTCAGCACGATCAGCATCACTTCTTTCAAATCATGTTAATGTGGCAGGCCAAAGGAAGGCCTGGGCAGTGAATTGAACCCCAGACTCCAAGGTAAGAGTCAAACACACTGACCACATCGCCAAAGAGCCAGGCTTGTTGGAAAGATAGCCAGAGCAAGTACTTATCAGGAGGCATTTCTAGTGACAGGACCCTTCGTCTGTCACATTAACATTAGTTCTCGGTGTAATGTAAGTTGGCTGGAGCACGCTTGCAAGTGGAAAAGACAAGAATGACAAACTTTGTGAATGCCGAGTGGAGAGGACGTGTCATCAGAAATATGCCAGGGTTGGCACAATCCACTCCTCTTAAGGTGTCATTACAGTCAACCTGACCCCATTCACTTGGCTTGATTAGCTATGAAACAATTAAATGAATTGCTTGATAACTAAGCACTGTGTAGGATAACTGGGAAAGTTATTACATTCTTGGTGTCTTCAAGAAACAGTACAGATTTGTGTTTGCAAATATGACTGATTAAAAAAATGCTACAATGGTTGATTGAATTCAGAAAAAGTTTACATTTTATTTCTTTGTAATCATTCAGATTATTTCCATCCATACAATCTCATATTGTAGCTGTCTACTTTGTCATTTTCCCATCTTAATCATTACTGGCAATGTATTGGAATTTAGCCTATGATTTATTTTATTAATTGTGCAATTCTTAATTGGGAACAGATGGAGAGTTTTGCAGCATTAAAAGATATCTTATGTGGTTATAGGACGATACAGAGCTTTTACTAAAACAAACTGTACAAGCAGACCTGAGTAGCCATAACCACAATAAAAAAAAAAAAAAATCATCATGATGCAGAAATGTTCACACAAACAGACAGCTGTCACGAGTCTCTGTGACATATCCTCTTCCCACACAGGAGTTACAGTGAGTCCCTTTCTATGTTCTGCTAGCAGCTGCAAGCAGCCAAGATGGAGACATACACTATCTCCCTCACTATGGCATTTCTCATCCTCATAAGTCGGTGGGGAAAGGAGCCTGAAATAAGTAGCTGATCAGTTTTGCAACTCCAGGTCATCTCTTTCTGACAGAGTATGGTTTTAACATCTATTGTATTGCCTTTTCTTTTAACACTAAACAAATTGCAGAAGGGAATTTTTAACTTTGTCTACAATCAATTGTTCCTTGCTACGGAAGACTACACAGACAGTTACTTAATTAGAACAAATGTTTACTTGAGTGGGGAAAGGATGTGTTAGTTTCCTGATGAGCCGAATGTTAATTTTGCTTGTCACCTATCCAGCTGTTATTATTTTAGCGGCAGACAGCAAAGACAATAGCATTTCTGTATACTGTTGTTAACTATTCTTTTAACAGAACTTTCTGCAGACTATATGGTTTTGTCCTTGCTTTATGCTATCCGAACACACAATCTAACACAGCCACATTCACAGAGCAACTGGCTATCACCTGCTGCCTAGAGGCAAAGGACACAAAGTCTACCAACTCACACTGTTCTCATGGTTATTAGTTCAGAACTTCAAATAATTCAAAATTAAAGATGCTAGCCTAATTCATAAGTTTGCATTTTAATCGTCATGTTAAGTTGATTTGAAATACTCAGCAAAAGGATTTATTCTGAGCTCTCAATTTTAGCGGCACAGCCACAAAAGTAAAAGAGAAAAAAGACTGACGGAACAAAATGTTTTAAGTTGGGATACTTTAAGATTGAATTAAGATATATTTTTTCCTTTTTGTGATTTTTGATTTGTATGCTAAGTATTGCGGCCTACCCAGAACAGAGTAATGCCATAACCAAGCTATATCAAAATTAGTATTTGGTGAGACAGTGACAAATGTAGCTCACCTACTGAATGGCGTCGAGATAGAAAGGGCAGAGATATTTAGATGCAAAACTAACTGTTTTACAACCCCAATTCCGAAATAGTTGGGACAAAGTGTAAATTGTGAATAAAATCAAAATGCAATGACTGTCAGATCACATGAGCCAATATGTTTTTTACAATAGAACATAGATAACATTTCAAATGTTGAAACTGAGACATTTTACATTTTTATCCACAAAATGAGCTTATTTCAAATTTTCTGGCTGCAACAGGTCTCAGAAAAGTTGGGACACAGGCAAAGAAGAGATGAAAAAGCAATTAATATATAAGAGAATCAGCTGAAAGAACATTTAGCTCGAAATTAAGTTAACTGGCATCAGGTGTGTAACATGATTGGCTATAAAAGAGATGTCCTAGAGAGGCTGAGTCTCTCAGAAGTAAAGATGGCCCGAGGCTCTCCAACCTGTGAAGGTTTGCGTAAAAAAATTGTGCAATACTTTAAAAACAATGTTCCTCAACGTCAAATTGCAAAGGCTTTGAAGGTCTCATCATTGACAGTGCATAACATCATCAAAAGATTCAGAGAAACTGGAAAAATCTCTGTGCATAAGGGACAAGGCCGAAGACCTTTACTGGATGGCCGTGATTTTCAGGCCCTAAGACGCCACTGCATCGCTCACCGGCGTGATTCTGTCATTGACATTACTAAATGGGACCAGGAATACTTTAAGAACCCATTGTCTGTAAACACAGTCCGCCGTGCCATCCACAGATGCCACCTAAAACTCTATCATGCAAAAAGGAAGCCATTGTTGAGCATGATCCAGAAGTGCCGCCATGTTCTGTGGGCCAAGGCTCATTTAAAATGGACTGTAGCAAAGTGGAAAAGTGTCCTGTGGTCAGACAAGTCCAAATTTGACATTCTTGTTGGAAATCTTGGCGTCGTGTCCTCCGGGCTAAAGAGGAGAAAGACCACTCCTCCTATCATCAGCGTTCAGTTCAAAAGGCAGCATCTCTGATGGTATGGGGATGCATTAGTGCATATGGTGAGGGACACTTGCATGTTTTAAAAAGCACCATGAATGCTGAAAGGTGTATAAAGGTTTTAGAGCAACAGATGCTCCCCTCCAGATGACATCTATTCCAGGGAAGGTCTTGTGTATTTCAGCAGGACAATGCAAAACCGCATACTGCAGCTATTACAACAGCATGGCTTCGTAGTAGGAGAGTCTGTGTGCTGAACTGGCCTGCCTGCAGTCCTGATCTTTCCCCAATTGAGAACATTTGGCACATAATTAAACGAAAAGTCCGTCAAAGGAGACCCAAAACTCTCCAGCAGCTGGAAGCCTGTCTTAAACAAGAGTGGGATCAAATTCCAATGGCTAAACTCAAGAAACTTGTCTCCTCAATGCCCAGGCGCCCACTCTGTGTTAAAAAGAAGAGGGATGCTACACTATGGTAAACAGGCCCTGTCCCAACTTTTTTGAGACCTGTAGCAGCCATCAAATTTGAAATGAGCTCATTTTGTGGATAAAATTGTAAAATTTCTCAGTTTTAACATTTGCTTTGTTATCTCTGTTCTATTGTGAATAAAATACTGGCTGGTGTGATTTGAAAGTCACTGCGTTTTGATTTTTTTCACAATTTACACTTTGTCCCAACTAATTTGGAATTGGGGTTGTACATCAGAAAGCTGACCTACACAAAAATACTTGAACTTATTCATGCCACTACACCCACTGTAATGGTAAACTTTAATTGGGTCCTTTGAGAAATCTAGCTGTTCCTAAATCAATCCCAAACCTTTTTTTTTTTTTTTTTTTTTGGCTTGTCTCAAAATTCCTAGTTGCATCATTACTCTCTGTCAAGGAGGC